AAACTTGCAGTCCGTCTGCCTCAGTCCTGGGATTTTAGTTGTGAATCTTGCTGGATTTGTTCCTAAGATCTCTCCTTTGTTTCCGCCCACTAGGACCAGGTAGTTTTAGCTCTCCACAGCCCTCATTAGCTAGTAATAATGAAGCCCTTCCACAGTGAGAACTGGGAAAGCTGGTTGGAACTTGAGGCTTCTCCCCTCTTGTACCTTATACCAAACATCTCTTGAAGAACCCAGAGCAGACAGTAGTCTTCTTGATTCATGTTTGGGCTTCATGCCTCTCAGCATGATTGGCAATGGGCTACATTTAGACTTCCCAGGAACTCATGGGGTGAATAATTCCCACACAGTCCTGTACTCCAGAAAAAGTGTGCTGGTTGACAGGGTTCTCTAAGAAACCTGGGAACTTAAGTGTAAATGTGGTTCCCATCAGTTTCCTTCCCATTGTCTGTCTGCTTGAAAGTCCTGGGAAAGAAGGAAGAAAGGAACCCTGCTAAAATCCCTAGCAGTACAGTAAAGGGTGAAGCAGGCATGGGGTTGCATACACCTTTAATCTCAGTACTCTCAGGGGCTGTGGTAGTGGGATTGCGAGTTTGAGCTCAGGCTGGATAATTTGGTGAGATGCTGTCTTGTGGGGAGGGGGAAACAGACTAGGTTGGTTCGAAGGTCTGGGTCAACCACCCATACTGAAAAACAAAACAAAACCCCCCACATCCTTAAGTTCATAGAGGATTGTAGGAACTACCAAATAGACAATCTTTGAAAGAGAGCAAAGTTCAAAGACTCACAATGCTACTTCAAAACTGCAACCAAAGTAATCAAACCTGTATGTCACTGGCATAAAGATAAACATGGAGACCATTGGAATAGAGCATAGAGTCCACAATCAAGTGAGAAGTTGGTTTTGAAACATGGGAGAAAATATTCCCTCCAACAAATGGTACTGGAATGAGTGCATAGGTAAGGGATTGAAGTTGGACCTCTATCTCACACCATATACAATAGTTAACTAAAAAGGGACCAATGGCTTAAATATAAAATTGGAAATTGTACAACTATAGGAAGAAAGTATAGATTTACCATTTCATGACTTTGGCTTTGGTAATGGATTCTTAGAAATGACATCAAACACATGAACAACAAAAGGAAAACATAGATAAATGTACTCAGTTTTTTATGAAGCAAGGAAATTATGAAGAAAGTAAAAAGATAAACTACAAACTGAAGAAAAGGCTGGGCATGGTGCTCACACCTGTAATCCCATCACTTTAGAGGCTGAGGCATGAAGATCTCTGCAAGTTCACGGCCAGCTTGGACTACATAACAAGACCCTATCTCAAAAGGAGAAAATGTTTTTAAGCCATAGCTAATAAAGGTCTAGTGTCCAGGATATATAAAGAACACTTTAAAAAAAAAAAACAAAAACAACACTTAGAACTGAATAACAAAGGGACACAAAAAGCAGCTGAAAAGTGGACAATGAATTGAATAGATGTTTCTCCAGAGAAAATGCCAAATTGCTAAAAGCATTTGGTAAGACATCTAACATTGTTAATAGTAATTAAAGATACGCAAATTAAAATCCCTGAAGGTCTGGGGAGATAGCTCAGTAGAATAAGCGCTTGCCTGGCAAGCACAGGGTCCTGAGTTCAACCCCTGGTACCACACACAAAAAATCCCAATGAGGTATCACTTCGTACTCACTAGTATAGCTACTTAAAAAAAATTTACTGAATCAGTACCCTAGTCTGGTGGTATAGCTCAGTGGCACAGTGCATGCCTGGCAAGCACAATGTCATGAGTTAAATTCCCAATACAAAAAAAGAATTAGAACCCCATATGTGCCACTGGAAATATAAATTCTTATGCATGTATACCACAAACATTGAAAAGAAGTGCTTAGTTAAGTCTGTATATGCACATTACGTATCAGTAGTATTTATAACAGCTAAAATCTCCCAAGTGCCCATCAATGTATGAACAGACGAAGGGTGATATGCGCATGTACTAGAACATTAGCCATAAGAAGGGAAAAAGTACACCTATACAGTGGGAGAGAAGCCACATGCAGAAGGGCATGTATTGTGTGATTCTATTTATATATAATATCTGTAATTGGCAAATCCTTTGCTATCATTTAGAAAATGTCCCCCAGATGCCGCATTCACTCATACATGGAGCTTTAGGTAAGTGATTGAATCACGGGGCCATCTAGCTAGGTAACTTGCTGTTAGGAGGTGGGATCTGGTATGACGAGGTGGTCACTGGGAGTGTGGCCTGTGTACAAGGGTTTCTCTCCCTCCGTCTTCTCCCTTTGGTCTCTGCTTCCTGGCCACCATGGTGTAAGCTGCTGTCCTCTACCAGGCCCTTCTACCATGCCACCTGCCTTGGAGTCAGCCAACTATGAACTGAAAATGTGAGCTAAAATAAATCTCTCCTTTAAGTTATGAGTGTCTGCTATGGTTTATTGATGAGAAAATTGATTAAAACATTGACAGGGATAGAAAGCAGATTGATGCTTTCCATGGGGCAGGGGGAAGGGGAGGGAGATAGGGACTATTGAATAGATGCCAGGCCTCTTTTTCAGATGACAAAAATGTGAAGCTAAATAG